CCCTGAGTCCAGAAATCATCATATACAACCAGTAAAGGAAAATTATGAGAACTGATTGCCGTAAACCAATTAGAATGAAAGAACATATGAAATCTGAACTACCAAATAACGAATACAATATCTTCCAAAGCCATTAAAACAAGCCTCCATCATGACACTTCATACCTGGATATAAGAGAAGGATACCAGCCTAGAATTTCCAAGCCATCGCAATCCCCTAACCACACTGTTATGAACAGAAAAACTAGCAGCTACAGCATTTGCAGAGACATCAATGACCTCAATAGAACCACTTTGGGTTCCCAAAGCAACAAGTGGAACAGCCACAGCAGGAAGGTTTCCACCACCTTCATAAATTGTATCAGTTCAGTTATTCCAGGAGAAAAGTGACAACTGGAAAAAACTGACTGTAAAAACTTACTGACATAATAAACTAAAGAAATTACTTACGTGCCAAAGTGGCTGTTAAGGAAGGGGATGGCACAGCAAGCATGGTAACAGTTGAAGAAAGCAGATGAAGCTGTCCAACTAGGTTAATCTGCATTAATGTTTGACTTTATAAGTTATAGGGATCATCAAAAGAATTTTACAAGGAGTAACACAACACTTTCTTCGTTAGGCATGAATCTAACATCACGATATTGCATAACCTTTTAGATGCCAACAATGTATATCTACAAACAGACAAGAAAATGCTCAAAAGAGGCAATTAATTCGCAACCACAATATTTGCTAGTAAAAACCAGCAATTTACTCCTATAGGACCTGTACAAGGTCCTAGGAAGCAAAAACTGACAACTCATAGAAAACCTAAAACTTAGCTGCAGATGCTTTCAATTGGAAAATCATCCCTAACCATCCAGAGTACACGGACAGAAAAAACATGGAACACACAAGGAAAAGGGGAAGTGGGTGGGAGTGGGCACAGTGTAGGAGGAAAGAAGACATCAAACCTAAGCCTATCTCCACAACTAAGTTTAAGTAATATCTCTCAGGTTCAAGTAAAATCCCCATATGACAGAAAACCTTGAGAAACTAAAGGTGAAAACACAACTACTCGAAAACAATTAAAGAAAAGCTACCCAGGCCTATTATGTCTCTCAGAACTATAGTCCACCACTATACTTTATTACATATTAGCACTCCATATCTTTACAACAATCCCACAATTCTTGAAGCAGATTTCATTTTTAGCGTATCTCATTATATAGAAAAATTCAAAACAACAAACATAAGTTCAACATCAGATGCAACATAACTTGTCACTTATCACCATTAGCTATAAAACTTTTTATTTGCTCCTTTTCATTTTGCCTTGAATGAGCAACAAGCTTATCTTCATTCAGTACTTTGTCCAAAGTTGTCACCTTCAACCTAGTACTTAAATTGAAAAATGGCAGCAGATAGTGATGAATGAGGGTGTCAACCCAAATTTAAGCTAGAGAACAAGAACCACAGGAATTTGAACCTAAATCATAAATTCAAAAGTGTACAAGCAGAAACAGAGAAAGTAGAAAGTCATACAGCATTTCAAATCTATTGGTTATAGACTGGACAAGGAATAAATAGAGTACCAATCAGGGATTCCAACTATTATTTTTGTGAAACAGCCATGCTGCTAGTGCCCAAGTGTGGTATGATTTCTAACAGAAAAGTGCAACCAAGCATGCAGTACATACTAGAGAATAAAGAAGTGCAGTTGCACACAAACCTTTAATAACACTTCTTCTTGGCTGATAGTTGGATTAGATGGACTCATCCTATGGCTATTGACATCATTTGATGGGCCAACCACATTCAATGGATCATCATCAGCAGACGGCGCTGCTGTCCCACCATTTGCCTCAAGAAGATCTTTGTCTTTGACAGGGCCTGAATTAGTTGATCCATCACCAAATCCTTCAGCAGTTAGGAGCCATTTCCATATTTTGCCATCATCAGATATGGATATCATATTTGTCTTTGAGATAACGAGAGATTCATCACAAAAATCAAAGGGATTATTAAAATCCACAGCAAATGAGCTGTGTACATCAGAGCAAAGCTTGCTGATATTTTGGAGGGTGGAATCTGTTTGGGAGACCACAACTGCAAGAATTGAGGGAGAAGGAACCGGTGTCCCGACTGAGGGCATCAATTCTTCCATCATACACATGATGTGCACCTGCTCTCCTCTGTGATATTATAGTATTAAAGTAAGTACATTCCCTAAAGCCCAGCAAACTCAATTATACATGTGCAGCTCATCAAATACATGACAAAGATAGCGAAACTATTTGAAATTCAAAGGTTTCAGTTGCTGCAAACAAGGAAAATAAATAGAACACATACAACAAAGAACAAAATACTAAATTAGAGCAAACCCTATCGAGAAGCTAATTTAACTGGCCAATGTTTATAGCTGACAGAGAAATCAATTTCATAGCAGTTTCCCTTTATTCCTAATCTTCCCCGCAGCTTACCTCTAACTTGAACTAAGCATTCAATGCGTGGCCTGAAGTCTATGTTAAGAAAAAATACCAAAGCAGAATTAAGCCCAAATACCACCCAGGCATTACCGGCAAAATGCCATTCACCAAAGCAAAGTGTATTTTTTTAACACATTGAGATGATGAAATAGTATAAAGGACGACAAGATCTTTCAATTTTTCTACTTCTCAACACATATTGACACAGAAAATATTAGCTATTCTACTACTGCAGCTTAATGACTAAAAAAGTACGGCACAAGAAATTGTCCGTATAGCTTCTATGCAATTATCTGGAATTCTTAATTTTTTTTCATTTCTCGAAGGCACCTTATTGGTCTATCATTCTTGCTCGTGCAGAATAGCTGACCATTTCATCTAAGCCGGCAAATATTCTTAGAACTAGTATGGAAACAACACATCCACTCTCAATTGTTGATGCATTTTAAAGTTGTACTACTAAAAAGAAAACCATTTCCTCATCAAAAACAATTGATCGACATCCAAATCATTTACGTTCAGTCCACTACTTACCCTTTCCTCCTCCATGTACTCACTTTACCATCAACATGAGCACAATAAAACACTTCCATGTTTGAGTCTGCCAAGACATCTAAAAACTTCCCACATCCCCTGGGCAATGCAGCCATAGATAATTCTGTCTCATACTGCAAATCAAAAACCACCAACTCCCTCGGAAACACCACATACAGTATATGCTTCCAATGCCATGAAAATGCGAATCTCACCATATAGGTAGGGAAAACGGCCAACGCGGGAGCCCCATTCCCCCCTGCACCGCTACTGGAATCCCTTTCTAGCCTCTGCAATTCAGAGGTCTCCGTACGAATCTGAAGCTCCTTTACAACTACATCGTTTTCGGTGTCCCCTAAAACTGTTCCAGACAGAAGAAATCCCTTTAGACCCAATGCACAGAAATGTCGACGGTCGAAAGGGTCTCCGCGGATACACGAGAAGAACTCTGGGGAGGCGTCATATTTGAAGAAGCAACGACCGGAAATGGTACTGTAGAGAGAGAGCAGAGAGGGTCCGGACAGAGCCGCCAGGATCCAGGAATCAATTCGGGTCTGGATCCAGCAAAGGTCCTGGATACCGAGCTTGGAAGTAGCAGCATCAGTTTCGAAGTTAAGGATGGTGGATTTAGAGCGGAAATCGAGGAGGGAGATGCGGCCCTGGCGATCACCGACGGCGAGAAGGAGGTGGTTGAGAGAATCTGGGGAGAGGAGCTGGTGGGGCAGAGGCTGCGGGGACCAGCGGACGGAGGTGACGAAAGGGGAGAGGGAAGGAGTAGCAGAGGTAGCAGCAGTAGATGGAGGAGGGAGAGGAATTGTGGCGACTAACTGCATAGAATGGGTATCCACAATGGATACAGAGCTGCCGGCGGCGTAAGCAAGGAGACCGGCGGGAGATAGGTCGGCGGCACCGCCATTGTTGCGAGAAGGTGGACCGGGAAGCATGGTATCCCAAGATTCATTTAAGGGTCGCGGAATTGATGCCATGATCCTCGTTGAATCAGAGAGAGAAGTATTAGATGATGTGATACTAAATTTTGAATGGAATGAATTGGAAGGATGGGGGGTTGTGTTGAGAGATCTTGAGGTTCATTGATGATGGGTTTGTTAGTTTTTTCAGCTACTACTGAAATATGGGGACTGGCGACTGGTGACTAGGGGATGGAGGAGGAGTTCTGAGCTGGCTGAGAATTTTCGCCGGAGCAAATCTGCATGTTCAAAAGCGTTGAATTGAGTAGAGCTGCAGGAGGACAGTGTGCGGATGAATAGGTGACCTGTCATGAGGTGTATTGCCAGTAGTTTTTTTTTTTTTTTTAATAAATGAAATTCACAAGAACTGAAATATGGTTAAGAACAAGTAGTGTTGGCTTGTTTGGATTGCCTTTTTCTTAACTTTTTGTAAAATAAAATTATTGTAATGATTTAATATATGTGAGATAAAAAAAATGATTGAAATATATGTTAAAAAAAAATTACAATCACACTTAGTAATTAATGATTTTTTTTATTTGAATATGAAGTAATCATTATACACCTTTTCTTCCACATATAGTTTGGGAGTTTAGGACAAAAAAAAAAGATGAAAAAACTTAGGTTGTGTTTGGATTGCATTTTCCGTCATTTTTCATGGAAAAATTACTGTAGCGATTTGATATATGTGAGAGAAAAAGGTGATAGGGAAATGTGATCACGGAAAACGATAATATTTTCCGACGGAAATAAGCAATCCAAACAAGGCCTTAAGTTACTAGAAAAGAGAAGAAATTCTTATATTGTTCGGGAGTTTTAAAAATTAGTAAAATACTTTTGAATATGAAACTCATAAATATTTGTTCAAGATTCAAACACTATATAATTTTCATAGGTTTTTAAAAATAGCTCTTAAATTTTAAAAAAAATCACTTTTTTCTCTTATTTTCAATTCAAAAAATATCACTTTTCTCTTTTATTCAAATTTTTGTTACATTTTCAACCCAGCCAAATTGATCATAGGTGCTCTTAAAATTTAAAAATGATCAATCCAACGAACACAGTATTCAGAGCATCAATTGCAAGACAGTGACTGGACTCATTAAAAGAAAAAAAGAAAAGAAAAACGCACGCACTATAATAATTCCTTTACTGCTCAGTGACCTGATTCTTCACATAATAAAACTAGCAACAGTTCTGATCTGCTTCTTCGCATAAAAGATAAAAACCAGTGTAACAGTTTCAGCATCCAATTTCTTTCCCTCCGGAGTTTCTATAACCGGAAGCCGGAAGGAACCAACACTTGCTTTGTAGTAGTTCAAATTTGGTAGATTTGTAAGTGGCAGTTATATAGCTGAACAGATGAGCAGCAGAAGTCCAATTGTGGAAAAGATATTTTGCTTTGAAGAAGAAACCCATCTCACGGTTCACAAGACTTCCATCTTCGTTCCCGGCGGCGGCGATGGGTTCATTGTGTATAATCCCACCTGGGAAATGACCTTCCGAGTTGACTCCTACGGTCCAGATTCTGCCTCTAAAGATGAACTTGTTCTCATGGATTCCTCCGGCAAATCTCTCGTCACCCTCCTCCGCAAGGTCGGTGCACGTCTACATCTACTATTTGATTATTCGCCACTTTCCAATTTTGACAGCTTTACTGTTACTATTGTTCAATATTTTATCATTTGATTAATTCCCACCCACCCTCGTCATAAACTTCCACTTTCAGAGGTGCCAAATAATTTGTCATAATTATCGAATACTGCGGTATTACTCTGTATTAGTATCGCGGAAGGCAATCATGGGTGATGGAACGATTAAATAAATCATAAAACTCAGTCGATGTATACACCAGTTGGGCACAGGCATGAATCTAGTCTATTAGCGTATGCATTGACGGTTCAAGGACAATTACCTTACCCAAACGTTTTCTTTTGCCTTTCTCTTGTTTTTGTGTTTGGGGGGGTAAAAAAATATGATTGTGCTGAATGAAAACTGATTATGAGGCGGTGTCTTGTCCAACCACAAGTGAAAGAATTCTCCAAGCTTATCGTGAAACAAATATTATGGCTTTGAGCACTGACGAGTGCTTTTTTGTTGGCAAATGTTAGTCCAAAGTTTTAATTCCACCACTTAAATGAGTCGCTCGACAAATTTTCCAACCAATCGTCCCCACTTACGGATTTTCACCGGGTGGATTTTTTTTTCCCTTAAAATTTTCACTGAAATGTTTTTCTTGACCTATCAAACAAGATTTGATTGCCCTTGATCATTGATGATGCCTTTAGGACGGGTGCACAGTACCTAGCCAAGAACTTCCGAGTTTAGAGTATCAACTAGGAATGTTAATTTGTACCGCAGTTCCCCTTTCATGTATATGGGTCATGAAGATTACTACGTTGTCGGCCAATCGCCTTCAAACTGAAAAATTGAGTAATGGCATTGCGAATCTTTACTTCTTTATCTTCAACCCACCGGACATCGGGCTAGTAACGGTTCCCCTCTCGGCGTGGCCCTAATTTCAACTGCATTTAATGATGATGTATCATGAAATGCAAGCACATTCGTTTCCAGTAGTGTCTTCTTTGTAAATCACATTATTGACATTTCATTCCAATCCCCACCACATTTTCCTTTTCTCTTCCAAACATGTTTGGGTTAAAGCGTAGAAACGAAGCCTTCATCAAAGGTGGGAAGCATTTTTAGGAGAGAAGAAGAAGGATGAGCAGCAGCCAGCCTTTAGCATATTCAAATCATCCATAATCGGAAAATTTGATCTATTAGTAGAGGTCTGTGGTCATGATCCAGTTTCGGAGTACCACATCTTTTCTGCAGCGATCATGTGCCATCTACAATCTGAAAGCAGGTAGCGAGTTGAAAGAACTTGTTGCTGAGATCAAGAGGAAAGTCGATCCTGACACAAATGAGATGTTGGGAAAGGATGTTTTCTTGTTGTGCCTTAAACCTTTGGTTGATGGTGCATTCATGATGGCTTTAATGCTTGTCCTTGATCGAATGGGCGGGGTTGATATGGATGACACTAATCAGGCTCCTACTACAACTGCGGAAGACACCACTGTCTCTTCTTGATTTATCATTTGTCGCTCTTCAAAAGCATGGGGTGTAATCATCTGACCCTTGCATGTGCAATTCAGACCATTAAATTCTTCCAAGGTTTCTGAACTTCGTATTCCAGGTTTTGCAAGGGGAAAATGTTTTACGGGCATATCATGAACTATCCACGCTCAAAGTTTGTACACCAACCTTAATCTTAAAGTTGACGCATGACTTGGTGGCTTGCTTTGCAGGGCATGATTGAAGACTTTGAATTTGATTTCATTGCAGATGGAATTACATCCTTGGTTGGAGGTAATAGGGTGGTTCTAGAGGTGGGCTAAATCTTTCCGCACGTAAATACAACGAGTATGCACAAATTGATGTGATTGGCACACACAATTGAATATTGAAAGGCGGCTTCTTTTTTTTTACCTTGGGGAAGTTATTTCGTATGAATGCGTTCAGATTTTTGTGGGCGCATTAGCTAGTGGGTTGCTAAATTTGCACCAAGCAAGGTCTACAAGCGCCTCTCCTGAGCAACTCGGTTGGTCACAGAAAGCCTCTTAAGGTTTTATTGTCCATTCTCCCCCACCAGGGATCGAGTTCCAGTGGTTACCGGTTCAAAGGGATGAGACCTCTCCTTTCGGGACTCAGGGGGATTAGTCGGGTCAGACATATCCGAAGAAGCCCGGATACCCCTTGAGCAGAGAAAAAAAAAAAAAAAAGGTCTACAAGCGGTAATTTGCAACAGGGAAGCATTGCACCATTGATCCTGCTCTTAGCTAAGCTTGACCTAAGTAAGGTGTCAATTTTATAGTCGTTTTCAGTGGATAGTAGCTACCTGATACGTGCGAGGCAACTGGCAATTGCAGTATAGAAGAGAGGGTTGTTATGACCTGAGTACAAATTTTTTTTTGAGTACGATCCTGAATTACAATTTTCGCGTCTTTCTTCTGCCACCCCTGTAGACATCAGGATATATGTATCTATCTTCTTTTAACGTATAAATAAACAAATAACTTGATGGTATGAGGATCAAAAAGGATTATGTAGAGAATTTAGTTTAGTCAGTAAATTGAGGGCTTCAGAGACGCCAAACTTTAAAGGACCGTGGGTGAGGGCGTGCTCTTATTTCAAGATCAACCAGCTCTCTCTCATTCCATTGCTGTTTGTAAAGCTTACGGTACAGTATTCAAACGTACTTGTAGTTTCCACTCTTTTCACCCTTTTTTTTTTTTTTTGGGGGTGACAAGTAGTAGAAGGCAGCTAACTGGGTTTGTTTGGATTGTGTTTTATTTGGAATATTTTTACTGTAGCACTTTTTGTGATGTGATGTATGTGAGATAAAAAGGTAATTGGGAAGATAAAAAGGTGTATTGGAAATTGTAATGATGATGTAAGCAGATAAAATTGGGGAAATAAAACACAATTCAAACAAACCCATAGATAGATCTAGGTTTGGTTGGATCGTGAATTATTAAAGATATTTTTACTGTAGCATTTTTTGGGATGTGATGTATGTGAGATAAAAAGGTAATTGGGAAGATAAAAAGGTGTGTTGGAAATTGTAATGACGATGTAAGCAAATATATTTTGGCAAATAAACAGCCATCCAAATAAGGAGTTGGACGGGAACATCCGATAATAAACTACCTATGAAATCGGAACATTCTAATGAAAAGTAGCATCTAAGTGATATTCAAAATAAATATTGTGGTCAAACCAAGTGAATTTTGAACTTCTCTCAGAAATTGCTTTGAACTTTTGTTCCCCCACCCCACCCCACCAGCACAAACGCCTTCTTTTTGGCTAATTAGATGTCATGCGCAAACTAAGTTGAAAAGTATCAACTACGCAATGAGTTGGATTGGGAGTGCGTAACTTCTTCTTTTTTTTTTGAGTGCAGTATTTTCACTAAAAATGTACTTTAAATGCTTCCTTATAAGCACCGTTCTCTAAAGTGTAAAAAAATAGAGCTTTCGACTTCAAAAACACCACCTTTAGTACAAGAACTTGAAAACTTGGGTGCTCTCAAAATAATCTTCTCATTGCTTTCAACAATAAAAGCTAACTTTTGATCATAAACTTTGAATTGAATCCCAAACCGCACTAACAACTTTTAACATTTTGTGATTCAATTGTGGCAAAATCAGAAACAAAGACGCCCATATATCATAACCTGTAACGTGGCACCAGAAAAAACAAACCTGCCCGGCCTCCCTCCCTCCCTCCCTCCCACATGCCATGCTGCGACCCCAAACTTTACCCCAGGAAAAGCATTTGTACGAGCAAATTTAGAGGGTGGGGTTTTTGCAATTTGTGACTTGTGAGGGGGACAGGGCACAACTCATTATCACCAACCCCACCCCTTTCTTCCCGCTTCCCCATAGCCATAGCTATCAACTAGTGTAAACCCTCCACTACATTATTGTACTCTTTTTTTTTTTTCCCCCAACTGCACAGTTTTGCAAAAAGGAAAAGGGGAAAATAGATAAAGCATCCTTAACCTCTATCCCAGTCCCCCCTCCCCCTCCTCAATCTAGAGAAGCAAAAAGTACACTACTTGGGGTGGGGGGCAGTCCAAAGCATTGTGAGCAGCAGCAGCAGCAGCGCAACTGCACTAGTGAGAAGTGAGAATCGCTTCCCCCGCCCCCAGACCCCCCTCAGTTGTCACTTCAGGCCCCCCAATGAAGTAGAGTAATTGCTTTCTACCTAAAGCAGATTTGTCCATTTTGTCTATTTAGTTGATGGGTTTGCGGTCGTTGAGATGATATATCCTCAAAAAACAAAGAGGGGGGAAGGCTCGGTGAAGTGAGAAGAAGTAAAGATGCCTAGGCCAGGGCCAAGGCCTTATGAGTGCGTGAGGAGAGCTTGGCATAGTGATAGGCATCAACCCATCAGAGGTTCAATCATCCAACGGATTTTCAAGTACTGTGTCTTTCCTTTTTTTTTTTGTGTGTGCTTATTTTAGTGTTTCTTCTGTGCTTTTGTAGCTTCAGTTTCTGATTGGCCACCACTTGTTTGATCAGGCTCGTCTATGAAAGACACGGCGCTGTAACCAAGAAGAATAAGGAATGGCAAGCTAAATTGCCTATTGTGGTCTTGAAGGCTGAGGAAATCATGTATTCCAAAGCTGATTCTGAGGTTGGTTTCTCTTCTCTTTCATAGTTTAACGGGATCCTTGAATGCTGTGTTTTTTTTTTTTCTTTCTTTTCCCCCTTTCTTCCCAGTCATTTACTACTATTTCTCTTATGTTGCTTTTTGTGGTTTAGGCTCAGTATATGGATCTTGAAACAGTGTGGGATCGGGTTAATGATGCTATTGATACAATAATTCGGAGAGATGAGAGTACGGAGACTGGAGAGCTTTTGCCTCCCTGTGTTGAAGGTACCCTTTTGTCTATAGTAGTTACTCTGTTGCAGGGTCTCGGTTCTGAAATGCTTATGAGAATTTGCTATTCAATTTATTGCTAGTAATGTAATGTTAATACTGCAGCTTACTTGCTTCAGCTGAATACTTGTTAATTACTTAAAGTCTCCTTATTTTGGGCTAATGGAAGAGATTTTGATATTTGTATACACATATATCTCTGTTTCAAATGGAATTCGACACTCCAGCTGCTCTTAATCTGGGTTGTGTGCCGGAAAGAGCATCCCGAAGTCAACGGCACAATAATCCTAGAACTTACCTGAGCCCCAGGACTCAAGAAGGCGGTTACGCAGCCTCAAAAGTTTCAGGTGGAAATACTGATGTACAAAATCGTAGTCTACTACCTCCCTACTCGGGTAATCAGTCGAACCTCGAGAGATCCACCGGGAGTTTGGAGCCTTTGGTTTCAGAGTCTAACAGGCATTTAGTGCCAAATGTTAACAGCCCTTCTACTTCATCATCCAAGAATTTAAATTTTCCAACCGATAGTCAGATTGCCTGGAAGGATGGCAAGGCTTCATTCAACGTAGGTTCGGTCTATCCCTTGTATTATGGCACCAGCTTCCAGCCTGATATCTCTAGGTTGGGCTCCCAAAAGCCGCACGTGTCGAAAGATATAATTGTTGGTAGACCAATTTTTGCATCTGTTGAGAAGCCCGCCGAAATAGGTTGCATCAGGACGCTGTTGGCTAATGAAGCAAATTCAATTGCGCCGAAGCAAGCAGATGCTGGGGAGAAAATGACGGAGGAACCTGAGGTAGAGTGCGACTTGTCCTTGAGGCTGGGACCTTTCTCCAACTCAATGTTGTGCAGGGGAAAGGGAACAACTCTTGTTAATGATAAAATAGATCCAGCCAATCCTAGCGAAATGGGTGAGGTGAAGGTTGTATCATCATCATCATCTAGAGAGAAGGATTTTTCCCTCTTTTCTCTAGAGACCACTAATGATCCCTCCAGCTTCTGTCTTGGTAGGTACAATGTGGAGGGTGAAGGTCGTGAGAATGTCGAAACATTTCTTAGAAAGCGCAAGCTGCCTTTTGGTAGCAGTGCGGACAATAGGCAAATACTATGGCAATTAAAGCCAACTCCTCACCACTTTGCTGATCAAATGAAAAAGCAGACTTCATAGACCACCACCGCCTTTTTTTCCTTTTTTTGTTTTAGTAGTAATTTACTTTTCTTTTCGGGGGGAAGAGTATTTATTTGACATTGCAGCTTCTTGCAAATTTTACTGCTGTTGGAGGATAGCAAAGTTGCCGCTTATGCTAAAATTCAATGTCTTTACTCGTTCCTTTTTTGTTCGTGCAACTAACTGCGACTCAAATGAGGAGAATTGAAGACCGACCCTTCTAAAAAGACAATAATGAGAACCTGTGAAATACCTTTTTACAGATTATTGCAGTGTATAACAACAAATTTTTACTGGGGATCCAACATATGGTTCATGCGATGCGACCTAGATCCTTACAGATGCCGCCGCCTGGGCAACTATAGTAGTAAAAGGTTAAAGGAGACGCCAAGAAGAGCATTTGATATGACTGTCAGTTATTGCATGGACAGTTGGATGTGTTTTTTAACAACTGGGGGGGCTTTGTTGACAGGGGACAACAAAGGCAGAGCTGTGTCCCTTGTGGGCATCCAATCCAACGCTGACTCCTCCTCGCATGTCTGAGATTTAGAAATAAAATAATAATAATAAAGAAAAGAAAGATTTTATCGTTAGATCATAGATGGTGCTCGATAACGGATTTAACTGTTGTTGTATCATCAATCATGTATGCATGGAAGTTCTCATCTTCTTGCGTCGTTCCTCCTTCCATTTCTTTCTATTACTGCAATGGAGGGAAAGGAGAATGGCATTAGCAGCTGGGTCCTCCCGTCCGGATCCGGGGCCGAGGTGCGTTGCCTTTTTATTCATGGTACGCATTGCTCCGCTTTTGGGTCCTTCGATAAAATCATGGAGGGACCCTCTGCTGAGGGTGCAACGTGCCTTTCAGGGGCCTCTTGAAAAGGAGCAACCCTGCAACTAGTTTGGGCTCGTAGATTATTTGCTGCTGGTGCTGCATTTTTTTTTTCCCTTTATTGGTGCGGCTGTATGATTCCAAAATTTTGCCGGATGCGGTATTTAGCGAAATTATAAATGTAGTCGTCGATCGCTCGCTCACATGTTGGCTTTGTATGTTTTACGTCTATCATCATCATCACACGTATGAAATGATAATTTTTTTTTTTATCCCTTACATATTAGTTTTATATATCTTTTACATCCTTCACATATGAAATAATGATTTTTTATTTATCACAAATGGAAAATATATATTAGTTTTTACCAAAAATAAATGAATGAGGGTGAAAATTATTATTATTATAAAAAAAACTGGCGGATAAAATCTAATTTCGATATTAATTTAGCATTCTTTTTCTAAACTCATGCAGTTGATAGAAAAATTACTGGAGTATTTTTTTTTTTTTATATTAGCTATGGCACATTCTACTGCCACTAATTTTTCTCTTTGAACCCCCTTTTGTTAATTTTTTTTTTTTGAAAAATATCGAAATAGATTCTATGTGAAAAACTACACGGGGGGTTGAATTTTAGTATAATTTTGTAACTAAAAGTGGTGGTGGCCGATCGCGACGCCTCCAACACTGCGGCTGAAGGCAGCCATGCCTATTACCACAATCTTGGCTAGGAAAATAGAACGAAGAAAAAAGAAACGTAGAAATATGAGGAACGTCTTTCCCTTTTTCTATGCGATCTTTCAATTTTTCCCTAAAGTTTGTGAAGCATGAGTTTGACGTGAATTTTTTTCCCGGCAAACATATAATTAGATATGAGTCAAGAGATTAAAATCATCCGTTTTTCATTTGTGAGAGACAAAAAATCATCATTTTATACGTGAGGGACGTAAAAGTTACAAAGTCATTATGTGAGGGACGAAATATTATCATTTCATATACGAAGCACGTGAAAGATACAAAACCAATATTAAATATGAAATTTGAAGATTCTCCTTATTAGTTGATTTAATTTTTGTTAGAACTGAGACAGAAGAATAAAGTTCTTTTGTTAAACTGGAAATCAGATTCATGACTGGAAATTCCATCACTAGCTTTCTTTATCAAGCATTGGACAAATTCAAGGAAGACCTGTTGATTATAATGAGTGCATGTACCAGACCTCATCGCTGTGTAAATGCAATGGACGAGTTTGCGCAGAGGCCCAACATGCTGACCCCAGAGTATTAACAGAGAAGCAAATCTGGAAAGAATCAAGGCATGCAACTTTTCCCCCGAATATACAGCGTAAAAAGCGAATAGAATCTTCTAACATCAGTCAGGCACCTGGGCTTGTCGAAGTGTATTTACGCTAAAAACCAATTCATATTTATTGCCGTGCTATCTTTTACACTGACTGCAAAAAATCGTGCTTAAGCAATTACTCCATTGGGCTAATAAAATATAATCAATTCAAGTCTCTCATGAAACTCTTAATGCAACAAATTAAGCCAACAAAAAGAACAGCAGGGCAAAGGTAGCAGGCTAGCCCAAGATCTTCTTTGAGCACACGCAGATTTTATTTCACACGAGACTTGAGAAGTAGGTGGCCAGGGCCACGAGAATAGTGAAAAAGGCGCTAGCGTTTAGAGAGGATGCAGCCCCAGCCTGGATTTTGACCTTCATTCCCAACTTGCAGTGGTTGTCAATGGAGCAGATGAAGTAGTAAGGATCCGTTGAAGCAATGGTGAAGTTATAAGGGCTGCTTGTGTGAATCTCACCAATTGCATTTGTTGCGCTGCAGGCGTCATAGCCACTCTGGTTCACTTGGGCTACGGTGTGAGTGTTACTCCACTGGAAAACTGATAAAGCAGAAAAAACACTACTGAGCTGATCAACGGAGCTAGAATGGTAAGCTTAGCACGATCATCTTATCAACCCTCTTCTGATCAGTACAGGATAACATGTTACGAGTATTCATGCATGCTTTTTTGTTACTTACCTACGGTATCGCCAGCGGCAAAGTCTCTGGTGCCAGCCCAGGTTTTGTATGCAACAGAACCAGCAGGAGGGACAGTCCAACCGAGACTGTTTCCAACTGTATGTGTATCTGCAGTTGCTCCAATAAGCAGTGCTGCTGCAACCATCAAGTAACCGAATAGTACCATCTTCTGACTGGCCATTGAATTTCTATAGATTATATGTTCAGCAGGTCGCCCGCCAGTGCTTGCGTTGCTTTTTCTTCTCCTGTAAAGTTCTACCAGTAGCTAAAGAGATGATTCGTCGAGGCAAGACGCAAGTAACGTTTGGTTCTTATAGAAAATTAATGGAGTTGGAGAAAGTGGATGCTTAATTGATTGTGCCTTTCAAAGACCAAACATTAGTGTTAGATTTTGAAGCTTTCAATTAGGACAAGAATTTCATATCTTTCAAACAAAACGTCTGGTCCCGGAATTCTAGAGGGTTTGAGGCTGACAGGGGTCATCCTCCTGTGGCTTTTCTTTTACCCATTCTTGGTAGTATTTAATTAACAGAGCTTGCATCAACTACACAAGACTGGGAGACTATAGATGGGATCATGGAATCAACAATTGTGTGCGGAAAAACGCGTATAGATACCATACGTGCATTAGTTTCATGAGCTAAAAAGAACTTCTGTAATCTGTAATCTGTACGCATTAATCATAAAGAACTTCTGTACGTATTATAAGCTGCTAGGCTTCTTTCTTCCACTGATTTTCTGCCAAACCAAAAGACCAAATACCAAAGAAAGGCATCTCGGGCACTGGGCATTTTCCTATGTCAATTATATGAGATCCTTAAAGTCCAACTTTTAACAACCTGGTCTCGGTAAACAATCTAGGATTGCTATTTTTTTGGAGTTTCTGTTTTTTAAAAAATACGCTATAGAGATTTGATATACATAAGTTAAAAATTAATATGATTGAAAAATATGTTCAGGGAAAACGTAAAAATTTTTTCTTAGAAAATTACAATTCAAAAAATACCTTTAGACCGTGTGGATTGCTATTTTTAGGAGTTTTGAAAAAAAAAAAAAAAAAAAAAAACTGTAGCGATTTGATATATATGAGATAAAAAGATAATTGAAAAATATATTTAAAAAAAACGTAAAAATTTTTCTTTAGAAAACTATAGTCCAAACATGGCCGAATTCCAACATTATAGTGACAGTAAACTTCATCCTTTCATTTATGTTCTACATAAAATCATGGTTGTTAAAATCGCGATCCGAATCGTAGGATCGTGCGATCCTATGATCCAGAAAGGCAAAATCGATCCGGATCGCACTCAGAATCGCAAATTCCTTGAATCTATATAGGATCGAGATAGGATCAGTAGGATCGCATATAATCGTACTTGTGAATTAGGGATCACTGAGTTTTTTATATTTTTTATTTTGTGCTTTTGCAAGTCCTTGACAGAGCTAGCCTAGCAATATTGACCTACTCTGCATTTTAGCAAATTCACATTTCAACATCTTGAATGTGTCCACTCCTCATCTTCAATGAAAAGTTATGGCGTTTGAGGGAACCTTCCAAAGGAAGCAGGTAAAGCAGGAAAAGAAAAGAACCTCCCCCTTACTTTAACGCGTTTCACCGAAACTGAAGCCTGCGATATTCTTTAAACGCAAACGCAAAATATCTCTGAGAGTTAAAAGTCTAAGAAAAAACTGTGATTATATCTCTTAGATCCTGAAATATGTGATGACGAGCTGATGTGAAGCAAAAATAAAAGTTGGTTGTGAAAAAACAATTGATTTTTTTTTGGGGGGGGGGGGGGGGTTGAATTTTTTTTTTTTTTTTTTGAAGGAAGGATTAATTGGTTGTGAAGTCCCTCTTTCTTTTTCCAAGGTCTGTGTCAGACTTTCTTTATCTGAAACATTCAAAACATCCGACTTTTATTTATTTTTTCCTAATCCAAAACTTCCAACTTGAATATATTTTACGTCACAAAAGTATCATATATCGAAAGATTTGCCACGTTGACTGTTCTTCTTTTTAAATTCGACATAAATCTGTGAAAACAACAGTAGTACTCTTGGGACTGCGTCATGAGAAATTCGTTAAAACAGATAAAGCTGCATGCAGTGCAGTGGCGGAGGTACAATTTTTCCAGCCTTCAAAACGAGAAAAGAGAGCAAATTGAAAGAAAAGATTAATCTTCTAGAAGTGATGAGGATAGTCTCCTGATGATCCAAGCGCTGTCTTCATCTTCCATACACTTTACAAGACTTATGTGCCAAAACATTTAGGCCAATTTGGTTAGGGAGAAAAACAAAATTAAGGATGAAATCTTATAAATTAAGAGACCGTATACCATTTTTTTTTCTTTTTAAAACTGCTAAATGCTAAAGAAGTGGAACCAGGTAGAATTTAATTTGTCACCATGATTTTCTTGTAAAGGTTTGTGAGTAAGGTGGGTTATTAATTAAGGATATGGACTGTTGAATATCCCAAAAAACTCACGTTTCCACTCTTTTCTACCTTCATTGGAGTTGCAAACGAAAGAGTTTTTTGGTCTGCCTCCAAATCTCTCGTTTTTCTTCCAATCCAAATGGGTTATTGGCTTAATAGTCAGAAGATGATGCGGGTGGTCTGTTTTTCCCCTTGCATTTGGAAATTTTGGCACAAGCTAGACAAATAGTCAAATGCACGCACCTTTTCTCTCAATTACACCATTTATCAATCAAATCAATGGCTGAAAAATTGAAATATCACAATCAATCTAGCGGAATAATACCGAACCGATGACTGAAAAATATGGAATTCAGTGTAATTATTCTATTTTTATTGGCATACAAAATGGTTCAATCTGAATAACAATAGCAGTAATGCGAAAATGGTAACAAAAATAAAATAATCGCAAACAATAAAAGTCGTCAATGGTCGCTAGCTAAATCTAATACAAGAAAGCCAAGGCAATCGACAAGAAAGTGAATGGCAACGCTGCTACTGCAAAAGATGGAGCAGAGTTTGGTGGAGGAGGAGCTGAGACACCACCTGGAGAACCAGACGGAGATGGAGTGGTAGAACCAGACGGAGATGGAGTGGTAGAGCCAGAAGGTGACGTGCTAGGAGAGCCAGAGGGTGGTGGGGTGGAAGAGCTGGAAGGCGGAGTTGCGCCGGTCGATGAAGGAGCAGGAGCAGAGGCAGGGCCGGATGGAGGCCTGGTGGGGGCTGGAGTTGGTGATGGAGTGGCAGCAGTTCCGGTGACGTTGATGGCTAGCTTTTGGCCGAGTGAGCAGTGTCGAGGGATGGTGCATATGTAGAAATGTTCACCTGCGGTGGTCAGGGTAATTCTGGCTGGACCGGTGTTAATTGTGGTTCCGGTGGCAGAGGTGTTGCAGGAATCATAGGCTGCCTTTGATGTCACCACAGCAACATCATGAGCTCCAGTTGTAAAGTTGAACACTGCATTGTTAATGCAATATTGTGAAATATATGCATGTCAGTAACCAATAAAATTTGGCATATGTTCTAAGATGAGGAACAAAAATCAACGCTTTCAAGTCATTCGTGTTATTATACAAGTAGTTTTTATTTGGTTCTGATAAGATTGGAATGGATTTGCTTTACCTAGAATGTCGCCAACCATGAAAGTCTTGCCGGCTGCCCAAGTTCGGTAGGCAATGGAGCCACCAGGAGGGACAGTCCAGCCCAAGCTATCTCCAACGACGTAAGTTTTTGGGGTTGTAGAGCTGGGGGAGGGTGCAGGAACAGGGGATTGAGGCGGTGGAGAGGTGGAAGGAGCGGCAGAAACATTGATAGCCAGCTTCATTCCCGCGTTACAGTGGCCTGAGAAGGTGCAAATGTAGTAGTGTTCGCCGGTAGAGACTAATGGTTTCAATCAAGTTTGAACACCCAATGAGAATCCCGCAAATTGGATTGCTTTTTTTTTTTAAAAATTTTTGTAAAAAAAAAAAAAAAGGCTTGTATTAAATTGATGTGTGTGAAATGACAAAGTGATTAAAAAATGTGTTTACAAAAAATATAAAAAATTTGTTTTTAGAAGACTACAAACCAAATAATTAAGATCCAAACATCTTAGATAAAGAGGTGTTACAAAGTGTTAAAAATTTGATCGCCAAACCATATATTAGAGGATTAATCAGGATTATATATATATATATCATAGTGTATTATATTTTTGTTAAGTTAATTTCTAATCATTGTACAATTTATAAGTTAAAATTTGATATAACAAAATAAATACCAGATGCTTTCATTTACAGATTTTCACATGTAGTAGTATCGTAGTTTACCATTCCGTTAAATATAATTCATTTTCTTCCATGTGGAAAGAACTTCTTGAGTCGAGATGAATACCTAATTGACTTGTATTCTAATGCAGAAACACGTAAGATGAACTCAAAAATTTCTACATTATAATGTACCGTGCATAATGCTCACATGCATGTGACAATTCGCGTTTTACGTATGAAAAGTCAACATAAAATCTTTTCTTTCTTTTTTTTTTTTTGTGGGCAGTATGAAATTTCCATTGATTAGCAAGAAAAAGAGTATACAAAGGTGTTTGTAAACAACCAAACACGTCCGCTGCTTCTATATGTATTCTTTTACTGCTGCAATTTGACATAAGTTTCAGTCCTTTTGTGCTGTCTATCGGGGAGTATTTCCCTGGTCCCTTTTTTTTTTTTTTTTGTCCTAAAAAAAAAACACAGGAAGCATTAATAGCACAACAATTACAAGTTGTGAGCAACTGCTCTAATGTCGTCCCTGGCTGCTTGCATGAGCCAGTTGGGGGAAGTCAACCTTGCAAATAAGTTCATTACAGGCAAATTTTGCTATTAAATGACTGACAAAGTTGCCTTCTCTTCTAGTCTAGTAAATGAGAAGCAACATTGACTAAAACCCTTCCTCATCTGCTGAAAATCTTCCAAAATCGTTCCAATGCAGAGTTGTCTCCTGAGCATCGATCCCTCATTGATTTTGTCTATTACAGCTTTGCAATCAGATTGGATTTCAATCTTCTGCCATTGTTCATCTTTAGCATTTATTAGCGCTAATCTGACTGCCGTGGCTTCTTCCACCTTTGGGTCATAGCATTTATTCACTGAGCCTGCCCGTGTAGCAACTAGCATCTATTCCCCTGGTCTGTTGAACTTGAGCGCGGTTATTTACTCGTTGGACCACCAATTTCTTTGCGAGTTGTCTGAAACAGTTACTGCTTTCATGCATTGTGTATCAGATATGGCGAGTCAGAAACTTGGCTCTATTTCAAGGGAGACACACTTCAGGCCTTATGAGAGATGTTGTAGCTGGATGGAGGAGAGTTCTGCTTACTGGTGCAAATTGGACTTTGGCAGTACAATAGGGCATTGCCCATAGTTGCTTTGATTTTTGATAGTGCATCTGACATTGTACAGTTACAAAGTGGAAACTTTTTCATAGTATAGGTTAACTTCTTTTCAAATCAACCATAGGTCCGTCCATAACACTTGATATTTTCAAGATTTAATAAAAAAAAATTTGGTAATTGTGCCAGATGTATGTGTCCAAGTTCTTGACCAATGAAGTCATGTGCCTATGCGGCCACAAGTAAGTCGCGTCCAAAAACAAACAAAAAAGAAAAATTCAACCCTAACCATGATTTTTTTTTTTTTTGTTTGTTTTTTTGGTTGTCTCATTAATCAAGAAATTAGCACCCTTCCACAAATGTGCCAGACTGGGGACCAAATAGCACAAGAAAAAGTTTAATAGTAACAATTGAACAAGAAACACAATGATAGGTCAATACTGCAATGCCCTTTATTTTATTTTTCCTTTCTTTCACGAAAAGACTTTCATTAGTTTAGTCAGTCCAAATTACGGCATTATCGTGCATATGTACATTTATGTTTGAGCATTACTCCCAGTACTGTTACTCATGAAAACCTCTACTTTCTGCGTCAAAGTTTTTCGTTCTGCGGATTTGAATTGTTTAATTCGGGTTCATTTAACAGCGATATGCTTGAATTGTTTGGAAGACTTTGTTGTTTGGCTCCGCCTGCAGCATTTAGCACAACATAAACCTACGTGTGCCGGAGAAGAATCTCTCCTCACCAAGTTACCAATGCTTGAGCAATAAAACACAAATAAAACACAAATAAAAAAAAAAAAGAGGAAGAGAACAGATTTTGTTGCATGGTGTTTATTAGTTTGATATATGTTCATGGAGTTCACCGCAATTTCGAAGTTTAATCCAGGTACAAGGAATCAACAAGAAACATATTTATTGTCGATAAACAAACTGTATCGTCTAATGAATATAATGATACCTCACCAATCCGTGTATTGAAAAAAAAAAGAGAAAAGAATAAAAATGCTAAATACACAGATCAAGATCAATATCGAGGCAAAGAGAAATTATTGGGTATACTAAGAATCCAACATATATAGGTTCTAAAAGACGAAGAGGGATGCGAAAGCAATAGCTAAGGAGGCGAAGAAGCCCAAGGCGGCATGACGGGAGGCTGAGTTGAAGGGAACGGGAGCCCCATTGGGTCCTCCAGCTGGAGAAAGTGCATTTGATGGAGGTTGGGCTATGCTGGGGGAGCCAAAGTCGGTGACGTTAATGGCTAGCTTTTGTCCCAGGCTACAATGCGTGAAGTATGTGGACGTGTAGAAATGTTCGCCGGCGGAAGTTAATATGATCCTCGCCGGACTGGTGCTTATGACTCTGAGAGGACTACTGGTGTCACAGCCGCTATAAGCTGACTTGGTCACCTCAGCCACATCTTGCGTTGCGTTGGCAAAGTTGAATACTGTATAAAGGGCAAGAATCAAGTTTTCGTTGGTCAGGAGAGAATCAAGTTTTTTTTTCCCCTTCAAATTTTGCCGATTATTGCGTGACTGATATTACTACTACATTTTATTTGCATAAATTAATAGACCAATGACTAATGCACTACGTGATGTTCTAGAATTAAATTCATTTGACTATGTTTGCTAAGCTGGATTTGCTTCAGTTGAAAAATTCATTCCTTCTAGAACGTGATTGAGGTTGTGTGTCCCCTAGTGTTGACTGTGGATTAAAAAAAAAAGGTGTGACTTGGATAGCTTAATGAATATGAATTGATTACTTAGAAGAGCTAGAATTGATTATTTAGAAGAGCTAGACCATGCAACTCAAGATAACTTGCTAAATTTGATTAAATGGTTGTGTTTTACAAGTGAAACAACCATTCAGGGAAAAAAAAGTTATGTACGTACCTAGAATGTCTCCCACAGCGAACGTCTTGTCATACGCCCAAGTCTCATAAGCAATTGGACCACCTGGAGGGACAAGCCACCCAAGGTGATCTCCGACAATGTAGGTGACCGGCGCTCTTGGGGACGGAGGGACAGGACTAGAGCTTGGCGGTCCAGGAGATCCACGGGTCACAATGATGGCCAACTTTTGCCCTGAGAAACAGTGACCGTCCAAGGTGCTTATGAAGTAGTATTCTCCGGTGGAGTTAAGAGTGTAACTTGCCGGACCTGTTGTCTGAAGTGATAGAGGGTTTGTTGAATTGCATGTGTCAAAAGCTTCCTTGGTTACTCTAGCAACGTCTTGTTCTCCAGTAGTAAAATTGAACACTGCATCAAAATTCGTTTTGACAAACCCATCAAACTTGGGCGTGATCGATGATCATGCACAAATCTCAAGCTAAAATTCAGATGCACTAGATAGCCGATATCTCAATTCAGTTAGATTTTTCAACTAAATTGACATCTCGGCGTATGCCTAAGAAGGGAAGTCATGGGTTTCAGTTTTTGCATTCAGACACAGAAAGAGAAGAACGACAATGAATGTTCTATACCTAGAGTGTCTCCCACGGCGAAAATCTTGTCGTAAGCCCAAGTCTCGTAAGCAATTTTACCACCAGGAGGGACAATCCACCCAAGATCATCTCCAACGATATAGGTGACTGGTGTTCTGGAAGCAGCAGGGGCAGGACTGGCACTTGGCCCGGAAGATGCTTGATTTACACTGATGGCCAACTTTTGCCCGAAGAAACAGTGCTCGTCTTGGGTGCTTATGAAATAGTACTCTCCGGCCGAGCTAAGAGTATAATTTGCTGGACCTGTTGTCTGAATCGATATGGGGTTGGTCGAATTGCAGACATCAAATGCTTCCTTTGTAACTCTAGCAACGTCTTGTTGCCCAGTCGTGAAATTGAACACTGCAGATTTAATTAATTCATTACCAATTATTAAAACCACGCCATGCATGTCCATAACATAACTAATCACAAAAGAGAAAAGCTTTAAAAAGATCAAAGGCAAAAAGCAGTTCTTTTGATTACGTACGAAGAATGTCTCCCACGGAGAAGACTTGCAAGCCAGCCCAGGTGGAATAAGCAATGGAACCTCCTGGAGGTACTATCCATCCTAACCTATCTCCAACAACATGAACTCTTTGGGCGTCGATGGTGTGTAGAGAAGATGCTAATGCTATCATAGCAACCGTTAGAGCGGATAATGCCAACTTGTTATTCCTCATGGTTTCGGTTCAATACAAGTGACTTTGAAATGTGATTATAACTAAGGGCGCGACTGTGACATTGAAATGTGAGATATTTCAGCTCTGTATTTATAGAGATGCTCTGCTTGACTTCCAATAAGTAAAGAAAAGGAAACCACAGACTTTTGAAGTTTCTCTAATTAATTCTCTTTCTCTGCGCTGATGAAACATATGTAACTTCTCCGAAACCAATTTATAAGTAATGATTTTAATTTTTTTTTTATTGTGTAACGGCATATCTATTCTAACCTACTTCTATTCCTATTATAACCTATTCTAAGGGTGGTTCAACTGATCTAAGAAAACCAACGAGAACTG